ATTGGACTGATAATGGTTTTAAAGATTATATGCAATTTATGAACTAACAAGAAATAGAAAGAATAATAATGTTCAAACCCAAATATTGTCATGAATTGTATCTGTGGTCAACACAATGATTAGATAATGCCCTTGAATAAAATAATAATAAACGTAGAATACGAGACGGGATTAAGAATGACATAATATACCTTGCGTTGAATAATACTATTTGAAGCCAACTATTGTGTTACAGATTTGTGCTTGTTTATACTGATCTAATCGACATTTTTGTTGAGTTCAACTTCGTTTGATCAGTGAATCATCTGTCAATAAATGATTTTAAAATAGTTGTTTATGAATAAGACATCATTGTGATGTAAAGACTGCCTAAGACGCATTTGAATTGACAAGAATATTTATATTTCTCGAACCGCAGTCGATGCCATTTCAATAATAATGTCCTTAGGACAGTCTATTGGTCACGATAATGCCCTTTTTAAAGCTTATATCCTTATAATAGTATCGTATTTCAATGGTATATTAAAGTTCAGTGTGTACATTATCGTGATATTCATAGTGTAAACACATACTGTATAATTTGTTTTGCTTTCCAGATAAAGCTGGTCTGTGAGAATCTGTAGTGCCGCTCTTGACACTATTGCACCTCCAAATACCAGCAGAAACAATATGACATACACGAATAATTTCAATCCTTTAAAAATCTTATCCGATAAGCTTGATTTTCTTGTCAATCTTTGTTCTGAAACATCTTTTCTAAAAATGTCCCAGTAGTTAAATTTTCTTTGCTCATCTCTAAAACAAAAAGAAGGCTTAACTGATAGAAATAAAAAGCAAGTTGCCATTACTCTTTATTTAGCAATCAAATGTGATTCAGTTTAAATAGTGCTTGTAGAAATAAGTGTTAACAAAATTCATTGTTGATAACAATAAAAAAAACAATATAAATATAAAAGACATTTGTGCACATTAGAAACTAAAACTTTACACACGCGTCTTAGTTTGGTTTCAATACTTTTTATGCATTTATAGTTTACTTGTTTCATTGTAAATACAATAGTATATAGTTTTGATATTTATTAAAATTGCTACTGCAGTCTTTACTGTGATGTATTTTGATAATATATTAATATTGTTCAACTCACCGTTGGTCTATTGATTCCTCCATACTGTTGTGTCAGATTACGGAGAATCTAAAACTGAAACAAGAATGAAAGATAATACCTAATAATCAGTTTATAAAAAAAAATAATATCACGTTGTCATTCAATTTGGTTTACCAAGAATTAAGAAGATATCAAAGAGGAAAAGACACTTTAAAATTTAATGCATAAAAGATATATCAAAAGACAAGTAAGGACAATTTGTGAATAACGTTAGGAGAAGGGATATAGGGGAAAGTACATAAAATAGAATTTATGAGATATTCAGTGAAGTAGCTGAATATCAAAGCAACTTTACTTTTAATTGCTGTTCTTTATCTTGATAGTACTAGAAGATCTTTATCGTGGAACTAAAATAATACCACACGGTAAGATCTAGACTGTCCTTAGCATCGACACATGTGATATTATTATATTCTGATAATAACCGATTATCGATAGAGTATAAAGGTATAACATATCATCTGCTGGACATTATCAGTTTGTTTTTCTGTACATTTTGGCCATTTGAAGATGCGTAAGACAAGTGCAGAAATAAACTCTTATTCCCCAAACACAGAATTTTAGTAACATTAGTAGACAATCAAGATTGAAAAATTGAAAATATGGGAAAATGCTTACGCCAGAATAAAATAAGAAGTTTATAGCGAGTCGCCTTAACCACCACACCATACGAGTGGTACGCTACATGAATGACTTAACTAAAAGGTCTATATCCCAATCAATATGAATATAAGGAAACGTGAAGTTTTCGTCAATTATAGCAGCAATACAGCTACACAAAAAACCAGAAACATTTCTCGAAAGCAACAAGTCAGGATGAACTAATGCACAAACACACTGAAATTTGATTTACAAGTCTTCTATACTGACAACCTTGTGTTTGCGACTTTTTACGCTGAATTGCAAAATTTATTTAAGGAATGACTGTAATATTTTTTCTGTCTATGAAGAAATAACATCAAAAATGTGGTGCACAATGAATAACCCTCGTAGCGGGTTATTTTAAAGTGTGTACCACATTTTTTATGTTATTTCGAATAGACAGAAAAAATATTACAGTCATTTCTTGTAATTTAATTCTAAATTCCGTTTTAAACCGGAGTAAACCATGAAAAAACGTTGATGACGTCACGGTCACATGAAAAAATAATGTCTATGAGCTGATAAACAAAGCAACGTCAGCCAATCAGAAGACGCGTTACATCAAAAATTAAATTATTACCCAATAAATATATACTTTCCAACAAGCCAACACTACGAACATTATAATACAAAAAATCATAACATTAAAAGAACTGTTCAAAAGAATTTTACTGTAATATACTAACATTTTCCTCATGGTGGCAGTGATGGTTGTGATACATTTTTATAAAAAGATACGCAAGTGTGATCCAGGGGCGGATCAAGGAATTTGGAAAGGACGGGAGTGTTATTCCTGAAAACGGAATTGATACCGCCAAAAGGAGTGAGACGAATTTTTTTTTTAACGATTGTAAGCTAAAAAAAATATATAAAACCTGTGAAACATGGCAATCTAAGTGGGGGTCACGCTCTCTACGGCTCCTTCCATGGATCAGCCACTGTGGTCTTATGTATTTCTTCGAAGATATTAACTGTTTAAGCTTAAAATAAGAAAAACATTCATGCCTTTTATCGTTGTCTACATCAAAATAGTAGTGTTAATCAGTTAACCGTCAGAAGGACCAAATATCGAATATCAAAAACGCTAACCGGTTAACTGGACCTTTTTTCAATTTTTATAGATTTGATATGAATGTGTATTTAATTCATTAATACATTTTGTTAAATTTTAAAATGATTGTCGTGGTATTTAATTTGAGAGATCAATTGTCCAGTATACTGATTGCTATTGTTAACCTTGAAAACATTCTTCAATCCTAATTGTTTCCGAATTTAGTTACATTCTAAAATACGTCATATCGTGACGTCATTCATGCGTTGTTAAACAAGTGGCGAGTGCAAAAGCTGCTAACATAGTTAGCTAAAAATCCCACCCACCTCCCCATCCACCCCCCAAAAATAAAGATAAGAAAAATTCTGCTGCTGTGTTCAAATTTTTCAGGTTTTAAAGTGATCGGATGCAGTTATGGAGAGATGTAAAATAGATATGGATATACCGCCACTGGAATTAACAGCTCTGACAGCATGACAAGAACGTGCCATATTGCCAGTGAATGAGACACCAGTTAATCGAATCGAATTCTTGTTTAATTGACATATTTTCAAAATTATTGACAGTTCATATTTTCAATATATATCTGTATGACTTTTAATTCAGTATTTTATCATTTCAAATTTATTGTAAATTAAAAATAGATAAGTCGTTACAGTATAGCCAGCGGGATATGGCAAGATGAAAATGGAACATGTCCCCACATTGTACGCTAGCTTCTATTTGGGGTTATATTCTTCTGTGTTCCCACAGAGATTAAATTGGGTCTTCTTTGAATGTACCAAAGAGACCGGATCCTGAATTGGTCCCAGTTTGGAACTTAGGGTGTTCTCTTTGAATTTTATAATTAATAAGCTGCAATGGAAACCAAAGAGTTCTTGGGAGGAATATTTGCTACGTATCGGGGCTCATTTTTTATACGATCTCTCTATTTAGCATTTAATGTAGAGGATTGTAGCTTTCATTGCCTACCAGTGAAGCACAGGCTTGCCAAAAATAATGGTTCGGCGGTTTGTACGTTCATCTTGCCTTATCTTGTCTGCGCAAAAAATTAATACTGTAGCCATATCATTCCAAATTCTAGATCTTTGTTGATTATATTTATCCTTGAAAAACAAAAGGAGCCGAATTTATACATTTCCCACATACTATTATGGTTCGAGAAAGGGTTTGATCGCACATGAGACATATTTAAAACGAAAGCAAAATTGGTTGATCGCCCATGAGACATGTATATAAAATGAAAGCAAATTTGATCTTTAATTAATATACCAATAAAATGAAAAATAAAACTAATATAAGAATTAAAGTAGAAATCCCTCGTTGAAAAAAAATATTTGAAAACAATATTTATCACATAATTTTGTCAACTATACTATGTCAAGATTACTATATGTACAATGATTCAAGATTAAGTACCTATTGGAAGTTTTATTACTGATAAGACAGTTAGTACAATACTTTTTTATAAAGAATTTCCATACAGAGATAGTTATTAAATTATAAGTAAATACACAGAACTGTGTTGTAATGTATAGAAATCTTGAGATATTGAGCAAACACCTAAAGATTAAATGATTATATGACATGTCTGTCATTTGAAATTAGATGATATCATGATATTGGTCAATAATTTCAAAATTGATTTTAAACATGATGTTTTATATGTCGTAAATTATGTTACACATTCTCATCAATGAGGCTTTGAATAAATTACGTGCTTTTGATGGTCCTTTCAATTCAGTTTACAGCTATGACGCTTCGACCACCAACAATGCAGTTTCACTCCATCTTATCAAACAGAATTGTCTTAGTTTATTAAAAGGTCTTTTGAAAAATGTGATTGCAAGTTTATTTATAATGCCTTCTTCCATAACGAAAAAGATACATATGCTAGTTATACTTACTGGATCTGTGGTGATGATAAAAAAAACTGTAAACGTTCGCCTTGACAACATCGATGTACGTTTAGATAATTAAGTTTATCGACAGGTTGCATGTATTCACATGGGCACTAATCGCGCCTCTTTAACATCAGACTTGTGTCTGTATTGTTATGAATCGCAGTTTATGATCAAACTCAGTAAAGATCCGTCTCTAAGTTCCATTGAATTGAAACATTTGATAACACTTACCGTTACCTTGATGATTTACTTGCTTCAAATAAACAACAATTCTTTAGTTATGATGTGGAAATTTTCCAAAGGAACTACTTTAAATAAATATAATATCAACAGCAATAATTGATATTTTTAGTTTCCAATGAAAAAATCTTTACAAAAAATTACGACAAAAGAGAGATTTTTTATTCCTTATTGTTGATTTTCCATTTGTGAACAGTTATGTTCCTTTGTTCCCTTCTTATAGTATGTATATTTTCCAACCAATTAACTCTGTAGTGCAATCATTGAGTGTTAGGTACTAACATCGATTATGTTATTTATAAATTAGAACATAAGTAAATATATATTGTTATATATACAATTATGTACACTTATGATCTTACATTGTCGATGATTATTATACTTTGGCATTGCACAAGGTCATGCTTGTCTCAGACTCTGTTTATGACGTTTTTACACTAAATCCGTTGGATGGGTACTGGTTGATAAGTTTGTCTGAAAACATGATAAATCCGTTGTGGTTGTCTTTTAACTAGGGATGAACTATTTATAATCGGAAAAGTTAGGTTCATTATTGGTGAAGTATTGTCAGCTTATCTATAACCATTTTAGACTTGAGGGAATACTTATTACGTAAGATTTACAATTTTTAGAAATTTATAAAAATGAAATTGAAACTAATAAAATACTATTAAAAAAATCTGTCAATTTTTCTCAAAATACATGAATCCCCATAACTTGGCTACTATAGAAATTATCGATATAATCAATATAAAGCAAGACTGAAGTTACGTATATATCAAGAATGAGGAAGTCAAAATTGTTTATATCAACAAGGGTATCACAAAGATAAATATCCCCTGGCATTTTAATGGCTGTTTTTATCGACAAATTATAAGTTTTCCTTCAGGCCCTGAATCCAACTTTAGTAGGGTTATTTCAAACTGAAGTTTACGTCTGCATGTGACCTCTAATCTTAACAATCAATAGGGGTTACATTATTTTAATGTGGATTTGGCAAAAAGAGTTTGATTATGATTGACCAAAGGGTTCAGCCTGTATAGGGGGTTATTAACTCTGACGAAGATAATATGGACTATACTCTGCTCGATGTGAACCAAGATTGGAGAAGTTTGACCAAACCAGTTAGGTTGTATCATGCTACAAATTGGTGTCACCAACTGGTATCCAGACAGACAGCAGACGTCAAACGTTATAGACAAACAATGATATTCAAATCCCCATTTTGCACTTGTATGACAAGAGGACAAGAATCTAATCATAAGATCATGTTTGACTTACAGCAAGATTCATTAATGAATGACAAAGAATATTGTACCTTTGACTTCATTTTTTTCTCCCTCCCAAATTCGATGATTGTGTCATGATATAAACATTTTCAATGTAAGAGATTTATTAAATTCAATAATATAAAACTTCGAAACATACATTAAAGCAATCAAATTATCGCAAAGCATGTTGCATGAAATGTGTGAAGCGAACAACAATCAAACGTGTGATTTTGTTGAAATATGACAAACAAAAAATAACAACTTACCTGCTACAGAAATGGTATATTAAATCAATATATGGTACGTGCAAATTATAACATTATGCAAGAAAGAGTAAGTCAAACTGCTTGTCAAACCCATAGTTCTTTAATTTGTATGAACAAGGGCAACACTAGGTCGCATTATCTGAATTTTACTTACAATTTTTAGTCATGTCAGTTATAACCTTTACCTGTATCCTTTGATTTCAATTCCACTCATAGGGATCCATTGTACAATTTATCACGAAGACTGAACTTTTCAATGTATGCATGGTGTTGACAAATTGTTTGCACGGTTCCCCTTTACCTCTGTTATTTGATAGGGGTTATCTTTTTTTGTGTAAATTTAGCATACCAAGTTTGCAAATGAATGATAGAATGGTTTTTCCTTTATAGTGTTTATTTATTTGGTAATGACCGGAACTCCACGTTTTCCTTACTCTTTTATTCTGAGGCGGCGTAAAGCAAACGACAATCAATCATTCAATCAATCAATCAATCATCACCCTCATCGCATCACAGGCGCTTGGGAAATAGGACCCCCTTTTTCTATATATATATTGTTTGTGTTTTATTTATTTTTTTGTCGTATTTCAACTGTTTTCACTTTTTTAATGTGTTCTTTCTCTTATCCATACGATTCAACAAATGTGCATTATATATTCGCCCATCTATTCTTTTATCCACAATGCAGGAAAGAGTGGAAAATAAGAATAGAGTGGCATCATATATAAACTACTGTTCACGTAAAGTCGTATGGATAAGAACAAGAACACATTAAATTAGTGAAAATAAGTTAGAATATATAGGAATAATTATTTGATAATTTAAAACACATGATATATATTCATATAGGACAGATGGTTCCAGTCAAGTGCCTGTGATCTGCATCCACAAATTAACCGAAACTAGAAGGTATGCTTCATATCGTGAACTTTTCTTTGATATTGACACAAATGGACAACCTATAACTTAAATCTGCGTCAAACATGATGATTTTAACTTATATTTCTCAGCAGTAGAATACCCTCTGCCTCTCGTATGGCGTTTACATATCTTAATTCAAACTTTTAGTATTTAGGGGTGTGTTCTAACAAAATACTGCTCTATCAGAGTTATGAGGAAGAACGGCTGAAATCGACAAAATATAAATTTTACTGTCACGATTTGGTTGTGTCTTTGTGTCAACTTACTAGCGACAATGTTGTCGCTTGCCATCGTAGAAGTTTAGATACCAGAAATAGTCGTCCCATCTGCAAACTCAATGATTCTGACATTTTGACTAAGTGTGGATACTCATGAAGGGTGATGCATGAATAGCCGGATATACGTACACTGTAGACGCAACCAGTCTCTCCACTACAACGAGAGCAGCAAATCTACTTCAAAAGATGACCCTGACGGAGGACCTGATGTCATTTTTTAATAAGAGTTCGTATTTCCTAATATGCAGCTTTCAGAGTTGTCTGTTTTACGCGTGCACATGTCTCCTGTGGGGTTTTTTTGTTGTTGTTTTTTTTTATTCTTTTTTTTAAGTTTTCCCAGTCATATATTGTTCTATAGGAGTTTTGCACTAATAACTAATAACAATCCACTTCATGAGCGTTACCATTATTTACAACTTATCTTGATACTAGGCCTCTCCGGCACGGACCACAAAGAAGAAATCTGGTCACTTTACTCTCATTACATATACAACTTACCAAGACTGTAAAGACGTTTCGTAGACGTATAAAGCTTACGTAGATACCATAAAACAACTAAGCGTAGTACAAACGTATCTATTTGAATTGTTTTCCATATAGGTTTGCTCAAAGATTTATATAGCAAGAAGGATTGGAATCTCGCGGACTTTTGCATAGACTGTATTGTAATGTATTGTGCAGTGCGAGATTACTATATAAATTCTTGGTTTACCCTATGTTTGTTTTTATTGTTGCTTGTTTTAATTGTTTTCAGCAAAGTTAGTTGCATAAGAAAATACAGAAAATGAAGAAAAAGATTACAGTAATATAAATTTATGGGAAAATTGTGATGTATGTGATATAGTCCAGCTTTGAATTTTCTTAAAACAAATCATACCCAACTATATCAGTCCTATCCAGGACCGATAACTCTGTCGATAAATATTGTCGGGTATACAATGTTGTTGAAATCAGAGCAATTGTATTATATGTCTCTGTTGAAATGTATACAATTACAATTTTTTTAACACAAGTTTAACTTTATATCGATTTATTGAATGCCTGGATTTTGCTTAAAATATTGAATTAAAAAAATAAATAATAAAATCATATTCAATGAAATCTCGTTTAATTTTTTACGAAATAATACAAAATCCATTTAAATTAAAATTTGAATCAAAACATTTCTTTAAAATAATTATAAACATAAATATTAGTTTGATTATCTTTTAAAGCAAAAATTATTTTTTTAAAGATTTTTTTTTATAATATTCATATTTTCTTAAAGTTTATTATGATACATACTTCTTCTGGTTTGACACGGGGAAGAGAAGATATTTATTTGTACAGTTATGAAAACTTTTGTATATCACAAAATTTAAACTCTGGTAATACATGTATACACAGGATGTTTAATGTCACCTGGTTGCTTTTGGTTTGCACGTCTACCTGACAATATATTGTTATGTAACATTACATCCAAAGTCAGAGTTCACCTGTTCGTCAAGTGATGGGATTTTGAAGGTATGGAATATTTATCTATAATAATTGTTGGGATTTTTTTCTCTCTTGGGACGTAAATATTTTGTTGTTCTAAAAGGAAAGTATAAATATATTTCTAAAGAAAGATGAATTATACAGAAAACAGGAAAAAAACCTTTTAAAAAAGAAGAGAAAAATTTTTATTATAAATTTTATTGTTAACAATTTTCTGGTAACAGTATATCCTGGATATCTGTCAAAATAAAATGTTCCCGTGTCACACTTAAAATAATATTTTTTTTATCAAGAAATTTTGAAATCAATCACCAAATGGGAAGCAGGACAAATCGCCCCACTGGCAAATCGCCCCACACCAAATCGCCCCACTTTTTCACCAACTCGCCCCACTTTTAAAAAAATCGCCCCAAACTGGTTTACCAACTCGCCCCACTTTTTAAAAAATCGCCCCACTTGTGAAAAGTGTTAAATCCCGTTAATTTTTCTCCTGCCAACTCGCCCCACTTAATGAAAAAAGGTAAAATCTAGATGAATAATTCTTTTATTCATAAGTGGGGCTAGTTGGTAGTCTGTAATTCTGTACATACTTTTATTTATCAGTGGGGTGAGTTGGCAGACATAAATTCAACGGCATTACTTCCTTTTTCATAAGTGGAGCGAGTTGGCATGACTCAATTCATCAGGATTTTTCTATTTTTCACAAGTGGGGCTAGTTGGCATTCAATTCGCAGAAATACTGATACTCACTTCTTTCTGCTTTATTTCAACAAAAAGAAAAGAACTACAAAAACATGTTTATCTAAGGTTTTTATAGGTATTGATTTTATTTATAAGTGGGGCAGGAACATAGATATACAACGGGATTGCATCTTTTTTCATAAGTGGGGCGAGTTTGCATTACTGAATTCATCGTGGTTTATCTATTTGTCATGAGTGGGGCGAGTTGGCAGACCTTATTTCAGCGGGATTTTAACCCTTTTCATAAGTGGGGCAAGTTATCCAACCTATTTTCAATGGGATTTTACCCTTTTTCATAAGTGGGGCGAGTTGGTAAAATTTAATTTAATCAAGGCAAGGATTTGTATAGTGACTATACAAATCCTTGATCAAGGAAAGTCTTACTATACAAATCCTCAATTTGATGCAACATTTCCATATACATCATCCGCCATTTTGAAAAATCCCGAAATATTCACTTTTTTAAATCGATTTTTGACAGAAATTGCCCAGAAATTAAACTGTTTTAAATAGTATTTTTCGCCAGATATATGTTTGAATATACTTAATCGATTTGCAAAGTTTTATTTTTATCAACGGAATTTCTTTATTTGTTATACAAGTAGACATGGGTATCGGTACATTTAGCATTGAGTCAACGGAGAAATAACGAGAAAAAGTACATGTTTTTACGATTCTCCAGTGACAGAATTTAATCAAAAATTAAACTGTTAGGACCAACATTGTTTGATAGAAATATGTTTGAATATCAAGGATTGATTTGCAAAAGTTAGAAAACGGGTCAGGTTAATGAGAAAACTAAACTTTATTGAAGCACCTATGCATTTTATATGGGGCAATATAATACAAAATGGCGGCTAGTATACGTCACAAAAGTCACGTGATGTCTGACTTAGTTGGATATGACATACATTTTCTTTATGAGGGAAAGCCCTGACGTACATTTAACACACTATTTACAATAGTCGTATTATTGGATAATTTATTGGTGTGTTCAAAAGATCAACTCGTTTTATATCAGGTCTGCATTAAATTCCTTAAAGGTCAGCGGATCTACACCTACGTTATTTTCAAAACACAAGGTCTGTAACTTGACCTTTTTAACTATTTGCTGCTGTGTGCAGCCCGAAAGTTTTATTTATCCTAGTTCTATGCGCCAAAGACAAAAAAAAAAAGAAAAAAAAAAAACCAAAGTAATGAATTCTTAGTGAAAACGGCAATTGACCTGTTCGTTATTTGTTTCATAGCGATTGAACTAAAAAAATTAACCTGTTTGCTATCTGGAATATTTAAACTATATACTAAATACTCAGGTACTTTGAGCCTTTTTCTCGGTTACTACAAGTATTGTTTGATAAGGTATAATTTATTCATTTATTCGTAAATATGTTTTTGTCGTATGCAATATCATTATTGTTGAGTTAAAAACTTTGTATGAAGTGAGATGGTTATAGCAATTGGCGGCCAGATGAAGCCCGCCTCCGGGTGCGGGATTTCCTCGCTGTGTTGAAGACCCATAGGTGGCCTTGGGCTGTTTCCTGCTCTTTGTCGGGTTGTTGGCTCTTTGACACTTTCCCCATTTCCATTCTCAATTTTATTTAAATAAAGCTAGAAGAAAATTCGAACAATGGTTTTCGGAAATGATTTATTTCAAAATTAAAAATCGTTTCATTAACACCATAGTAATGTCGCTTGTCATCTAAAGTCAAGTTAAAAATATCAAGTAAAGTCAAAACGTAAATATGGTGTTTTATTAGATACTACATATGAAAAAAAGATATAGGAGGGTAGTCAATGACTTAAGGCAGCTAAATAATTCAGATAAAAAGGAGGAAAGATAAAGAAAAGATTAATTGATTATGGAATAAGCAGGAATAAAATACCACCAAAAAATAAGAAATCTTACCAGAGCTAAACTGAAGTTTAGTGTGACTCTGAGATATAATTGACCGAAAATTCATTCGCTCTATCGAAAAATAAAAAAAAAGAAAGACCGCTGTACTTCTGTGCATTTATATGGATGTAAATGGGAACGAGTGAGTAGTATGGTTGTGGGATATGCAGTTTTCTCTCATAAGGCGTTTCCAAGAATTAACATGACAATTGTACAACTATGATTTCTTATTTTCTAAACCAAATCAATCTTATCGGTATATTTGTTAATTATCACTAAACTCATTCAAATGAACTCGTTTTGTAGTGATTTCATTTATAAAATCTTCTCGTGTCTATATTACATCAAATTATTTTACGATAACTATAAAAGTTATAAGTAATTCAAAGTTGTAACATATATTGGAATATTCAGATGGTCGAATATCTTTAGAAATTATAACTACATGTATAATATATTTTCTTATAATGCGTACTTACCACGTTTAAGAAGTGTTTAGATACAATGAAATGTTCTCGGATTTTCTGTACTTAAGACTGTCCATGATATGACGATAACAATCCCTACCCACAGAGTAGTAAATCATACCCCATTTAATATTGCAATCTTCATTGACATTGACATATATAAGCAATAGGCTGATAAAACGAATATTATCACAAATCTTATTGACAATTTGAGTGTACACAATTATTGAACATATTTATCACATCAGCTTTCTTCACGGACTAGATTTATTTTTTTAGTATGAATAAAGGAGGTGTGTGGTATAGTTCAATGAGACAAGCAACCCAGCGACCCAAAGATATCAAAATAGTAACGGTAAAATGCTACTTGACTTGCTGCAAGAATAAAAAAGGTGTACGCTGTTGTTTTAATTACATAAAAATATTCTCGACTATTTCCAAACAGATTTTTATTTCTATACATATTTATTTGCACCTTTATAAAATAAGGAGACGTGTATGATTGCCAATCATCTGTTGCCAATGAGACAACTATCCAACTTAGTTCAATTGACGTCGATGTAAAGAGAAAAACTTATATTCATATACAAATAGCAACTTCTGAAATAACTGCAAAATCATGTCATTTTGATGAGTCGAGCGTTATTGTCTTAAGGTCTGTTTAACTGAACTGCAGAAGAGCAAAACAGGCAAAATAGACTACCATTGCACAAACTGAAAACTCGTTTAGTGGCAGAAAAAAATGTTCATCAAAACACTGAAGAATTATAATCAAAGATACTCAATGAATCAATGCAATAAATTATAAACTGGTAGATATAACATAAAAGAGATTTAAAAATGCCGGATTGTGCAACTTCGACCTAAAATTATAACATCCTTTGAATATGTTCTGGGTGTTTGTTGCGTTTTCAATTGGAGCTTTTATTTATGTAAAGCAGCTTTACAAACAGAAACATAAAATACGAAAAATTATTCCGAATTGGTGTGAATTTCTGTAGAGCATAATTAAAATTTTGAACTGGCCGGGTCTATTTATAATATTCTCATATCGTGAACAATCAACTTATTCTGTACACTTTCGTTTTCTAAACAATGTATTGTACCTAACTGTAGCAGTGACAAAGAAAGAAGATTGCAGAATTGTGTAAGTTATTGTGAGAATTATTAATAACAGCAAATATATCCTGAAAAGCTCTTTTGATAGTGGTCTAAACTAGATTATGGTTCCAACGTATATGCACCCCAAGGAAATCATACATTCAAATTCTAGATGCTGTGCATAACCAAGATCTTCGTATGTGGCTTGGTGCCTTTAAATCCTTGCCAGTTGAGAGTCTGTATGTAGAGGTCTACGAGCTTTCACTCTCCAAAAGACATTTGTAGCTTCGTTTTCAGTATGCCTACAAGCAAAAGATATTTTCAGACAATCCTGACTACAACTGTGTTTTCATTCCAATTTATGAAAACCTTTTTTAAAAAACATGAAAATCAATTCTTCCATTAGGAATTCGTTTAAAACCACATCTGAACACCTTTGATTTGAAGTACGTTGCTCCAGTTTCCCTTTTATGGGAACTTTCTAAACCACAAATGATATATGATCTCCATAATTGTGATAAGCCTGAAACAAACTCTCTTTCGATTCAGAAACATTATGCTGAAATAAAATCCAACAAAAATCTGACTATTCAACTGTTTACATTGATGAAGGATGGAGACAGAGTTTCATCTGCTGCTGTCTTTTGAGACCTAGTTACAACTGTCAACATACCTCCTGTTGCATTCACCTTTACTGGAGAAGCTAAGGCAATCAATCTGGCCATCCAGTTTTTTACTTCTTTAGAAAAATCAAAATTTATCATTATGTTCAGACTCACTTTTATGTGTTCAAGCTATACAAAATGCAAACTTAAAAACCCGTTGCTATTAATATATATATATGATATATATGCATATGATATATGATAGATAATGAGTGTTATGTTTTTTACGTATTCCCTACCATATGTACCTGCTCCTTTATGGCTCATTGATTAAGTGTGACGGATATGCCAGTGCAGATTTCCAACGAAAACATTTCTCACTAACTCAATTTTTGATGTTTTTATTATTTTGTTGCATATACCCTCCATTAAATATCCCTTTTCAAACGCACAAAACCTCCGAGGAAATGTATTTTATTTGTTCCATATGTTTAGTTAATTAACATAAAAGAGTAAGTACTTATTATATACATTCTATATCTCCTGCATTATTAATAAATTATGTTTTCTTTGAATACGATTTTAAAGATTCTATTATACAATTTTACAAGATTGAAACCAAACGTTCATGTAATCCCCCTTTTATCATGATTGGTTTGATATTTTCTGCATGTAATGTATTTGTATCTTGTCCTTTGATATAAAATGTGCGTAGTTTTTCCAATTAACTATTAGTACGGTAAAAACTAGGAAATAAGTTGAGTTCGAAAATATTGTCAGATAAAATAGTTGTAACTGGAATTCATGATGGTTATTTTTGTTTTCGCATGTATAGTTGAAATGTTCTTGTTTCAAGGAGTTTTCTCGAAATCGATACAAAATATAACCCAATATGAAAACAAAATAGATGCTTTAGAAAAATCTATGGAACTTCTGGAGACACGTTTAAACAACTTAACTGGAATTGTGTACAATGTGACCAAACGTAAGTTAACTAGATATTAATGTAAAAGGTCAAATTGAAATCCAGCATGGTACAAAATATGTTTTGCCTTTTTAAGTTACAGTGGGAAAATTGGTTTGCCTTGCTACAAATAGAATAAGTTACTCCTTCAACAATTCATGATAACTAGGTTAACACTGTGAGTTCTAAGAATTCCACAATCTAGCATGACCCGGATTTTAACTGAACGATAAAATATAATAAGTTTCTTTTTACTATGGTCGTATTTTTGGGGAATAAAGTTTACTTTAAAATTAAGCCCCATATGTAATCTCTGTAATTCTTTCATATTTATAGCCCTTGATTTAATTTTAACTTAACATTGCTTCTTCTACTGATATTTAAACATAAAAATCTGTACTTTTTGGGAAGAATGTCATATTCAATTTAACTTTAAGATACGAGAGTTAACACTTAAAATTTTGATTTGTGTTAGGAAAACTTGACTAATAAACAGCACGTAAATCAAAGAAGGAAAGTCCATTTCACCATTTAATAACAAATGCAAAAACATACTACAAGACCACAAATCTCATTTGAGATTACAAAATATTATGGTGACTTTAAAAATGATGTCTTAGCCTTGTTTTTTTCAAAAATTATCTGTACCATTTATATACAGTTCTTAAAAATGTTTTTGTGTTTTGACTTTTTAGGTCAAGGCAAGGGGAAAAAACATCAGCTTTTTTATGTCGAATTGAACACTAATACAGTATTAAATGTCAATTCTATTGTGAAATTTAACGACGAAAAGATTGACGAAGGAAATAACTTTAATACAGGTGATGGAATCTTTGTTGCACCAGTCTCTGGGATTTATTTATTTACGTGGACTATGCAAACTTACAGTGGTAAAAATGTTAATACTGAATTAAGGGTGCAAAATTCTGTTAAAGGAAGACAACACACAAATTTAGGATCGTCAGTTGGAAACTTTGCAACAACAAGAAATGTACTTTGTATTGTGAGCAAGGATGACCATGTTTGGATTCAAACTAGCCGTTACTATTCAGAAAACACTTTAGATATATCAAATGAATCAAAGTGCTCGTTTATGGGAATATTGATTCATGAAATTTGAAAAAAAATGAATTCATAGTCATGTTATTTCTTTTATGCAGCCAATATATCGAATTACAAAAGAGACTATTGACAGTTTCAATACATTGTTTTGATCTTTCGTTGTAAGCTATATGAGAAGTTTTACGTTTGTACACACGGATATTATACCTTTACATACTGCAAGTTTCCAGATAAAGGAGAGGACCGGTTTGACCAAAAACCTAGTTGTTGAAATTGTTAAGAGAAAACATAACATCAAGGATCACCTCGAATACTTTGTAAATTGATGTATGGATTAAAAACTTAAGATTCTATGTCAGTTCATGTTTTTCAAGATTTGATTTATTAAAGAAGCAAAGGTTTTTTTTAATCTGTGTATTCTTCAAGTAAATATTGACAGTAATACAAATTGAATTTACTGGTATATTTCAAATTGGAAAATTGAATAGACAGCCTAAAATATATATATATACTATGGTTACCAGAGTAAACAAACCCTTGAATTTTGTCTAACTTAATCCCTAGTTATCAGACAGTATAACAGTGCATCAACACATGAACATTTACGATTAAACTCAGATTACAATTCCATTTCAGTTTCTCATGTTTTTTGAAAATTTTACTATTCATATGATATTACAATTGGACAAGTTTACTTTTTACAAAGGCTGCACGGGATAACATAATTATCAAGTCTGGTCCCACTCTTATTTTTTTACGATCGAAACTTTTTCACAGAAGATGATTGATGGCTGATTAGTGTTGGCCAAACCCCCAGTGGCAGATATTTCATGCATGTTTAGGATGGTAACAATTAGTGCAATAGGTAGGTTCGTAACACAATCTCTACACTTAATCGGAATTAACAACCCATTTAGAACGGACGTTGCTGTGTATTTATAAATACGTTCCGCACAATCCAATGGGTGTCACAATTTAGCAAAGACTGCCGAATGGGGGAAGTTCAAGGAATAACCATATTTTATGCATGTTTAGCTGTCAAGAAAAATGAAAAGAAGAGTACCGCAGGTCTCTGTGTTACTCCACTTTTGATATTTAATATTTTTTTCTATTTTGTGCAGGCTCAGGGTTTAACCTATGGTGTATACTTATTTTGTCACGGTGTTGTGTGTCATTGTTTCTGTTATTCGTCTTGAAAGTTGTACAGAAACAAATTGTAACAACGAAGAAGATACTAATGGGCAATTAAAAACAAGTGGCATCTGTTGTGTTACTAATTGCAAGTAAAGACTCGGTGAAAATTAGTATTCATAATGGACGAAAAGAGGAATTGATTGAAGCTACGACAGGACTAGTGGGACATATCCGTTGTCATCCATGACACATATATTTTATAATGGTCATCCAAATCATGTTGGTGACGTAAATATTACTAGGAATTACTTCAACTTTACCATTCGGTACCCCTGGTTCGAGATATGAAGCAGACTTGATTCCTATTTAAATAAATGTCTTGAATATTGTTGATACATGTATTCGCATATCACATTTCGAAAATAATTTAGAAATAAATAAAAGGGTAAGTATTACGCCCATTTCTAGGATTGAAAACAAAATTCGAGTACTCGCAAAGCGTTTTGTGCTCGTACCGGCCGACAAAGCAGCCAACAATGAGGTGGTGGTATGACGTAAATATTACACGGAAGTCCTTATGAATGAAATTATACATTCAACTACATTGACAGTTTTGACTTTTCCACTCTTTATACTTCACTTCCACACAATTTTATTTAAAACAGAAGTTTTTTCCTTTTTAACTAAACGGTCGCTTGAAAAATCTGATTGCAAATTTATTTACTGCAAGTCATATAAAGCCTTTTTCTCAAATGTGAAAGCTAAATATGCTAGATATACTTACTGGATGTGTGATGAAATGACTAAAGATGTACATTTTCTCCTTAACAACATTTATGTACGTTTCGGCAATTAAGTTTAACGATAGGTTGTAGGTATGTCTATGGGAACCAATTGTGCCTTTTAATAGCAGACTTGTTCCTGTACTGTTAGGAATCACAGTTTATGGCCACACTCAGTAAAAATCCGTCTTAATTACTTTTAACAGATAGCAACAACACTAACCATTATCTTGACGGTAATTTTTCGATAAATTATCAAGAATTCTCTAAATATATTGCCGAAATTTACCGAAAGGAACTTACTTTAAATAAACCAAACATAAGCAGCAATAAAGGTCCTTTCCTAGATTTATCTACAGAAACTTTTACTACAAAAGGGACGATTTTTCTTTCCCTATTGTTAATTTTCCCTTTTTAGATGGTGATGTCCCTTTGGCACCATCTTACGGTATTTATATATCCCACCTCGTTCGATATGCCCATGTCCGTAGTGACGTTTTGGATTTCATTAAGCATATTCTATGTACAAATTTTTTTTATTGTTGTGAGGGATTCATAAATACCCTGCCACGTCCGGTTGTGTTTTTGTTGGATGTTTTTCTGCTTTGTATCGATCTGATGAGTTAAACCCTTTTCAACTCATATTTATAGTTTGTTCTTATTTTGTACTGTTACACCACTGTCCCAGGTAAGGGGAAGGCGCCTTCAAACATGTTAAACCCCGGCACATTCTTTATGCGCCTGTAGTTCAGTAGTTGTCGTTGGTTCATGTCTGTCATTTTTGTTTTTCGTAAATTGTTGTGTTATAGATTAGGCCGTTAGTTTTCTCAATTGCATTGTTTCATATTTTTCATGTCGGATCCTTTTATAGCCGACTATACGGTATGGGGATTTCTCATTGTTGAAGACCGTAAGGTTGCCTATAATTGCTTACATCCCCATCATTTGAAGTTTGTGGATAGCTGTCTCGTTGGCAATCAATCCACATCTCCTTATTTTTATATTTAATGGACCTGTGGTATCATATATCGTCGGTTTTAGAAACAAAGTTAGTAACACAGAAATGTTGATTTTCTGGTGAAAATTTACCCTTTAAACGTAAAAAACAGTTTTCAGTAAAATAAGTTATTGTTAATGTTAATTGGACGTCATATTCATGTTCCATGTGCGAAACTGAAAATCTTTACAATCTGATCAAAGTTCAGAACTTGCGTGCTCGTCGAACATCATAACGAAATCAAAGATCTTTATTATAATTAGATTGAAAATCTTTATTGATAGATAAAATATTTCATTTCAGGATACCCACCTCATAAAAAAATGGAGACTATATCGAAGTTACAATCCGTTACATTTCAACTCACAAAAAATCAATTTTCGCCAAATCAGATTTTTGCTATTTTTTTCTCAAAGAAAAAATACAACGCCTGGACCAAAACATTATATAAACTTATTTCACATCGTAGATTAAAGCTGTTCCTCTCTGGTTAACAATCAATAAGATATTACTTTCTTTACTAAAATGAACCCCACAGATTTTTTCTATACCATATTCTTTCGTTAATATGGTTCTTGCATAGGTACCGTCAGAGGACAATATAATTACACTATCATTGTTGTGCGAAGCGACATAAACGTTAGATTCATTGTCAATAGTAACCCCACAAGGACCATCCAGGATAAACTTGTCTTTATATTCCCACACCATCTTCCCTGTCATGGTGTAGCATGTGACAGTATTTGCTTCTAGACAAGTATGATATAGCTTTTTTCCAAATGTTGTAACATAATTCCAGAATCCATTTACATTCTGTTTTACAAGTGAAGATGTGCTACCCCCGGAAAGTGAGACCATCTTGATGCCTGTCCCTTGTTCATAGTATATCAATTTATCTTGGCAGTACGACACCCCACAACACCAACAGGATGCTTTAACCACTTTTACAACTTGTTTTGTTGTAATGTCAGCTATGTCTATTTCATATGGAGACCAATTGTGGGAGACAGCGACGGTTTTGTCATCAATACAAGTAACGTCTACAGGACGGTTCGACACGAAAATTTCACAGTCTAATGTTCCACTGTCATTCAGAACTATTACGCGATTATTTTCAAAGTCAGTGAATATCATTTTACCTGTGGATGTAATACTGCATCCTGTGACATAATTTGACTTACTTCCTTTCGGCAAGTTAAGTGTCTTTTTTATTACAAGGTTGATGTCGTCAATTGATTTTGGTTTCGCCATTTGAACAGCCATCAACTGGGCTTCGTTTTCTTTTTCTGTCATAATGATGATAGAAGGGGGCGTTGTTTCTGTTGAAATGGCACCGAATGTTGTAATCGTAGACAATATATCAGACAATTTATCATTCCTGGTAAAAAGAAGGTCTGTACACTCCAAACTTCCTTTCTCTGTCAACTCATGCAAGAAATGTTTTTCTTTTATTACATCTGTTTCAATCATCTTACTTCCTAAAAAGGTCTGAAGATCAGATGCATAACTCTTAATATCGGAAATAGTGTTTTGTAACATGGTAATACTATCGTTGTGAATAGTAAGATTCGATAGCAAACTTTCTATTTCTTTGGTAATTTTATCTTCACTAACTTGCAATTCTTTGAGAATCTGCTGCTCTAACTTATCAAGATGACTGTTAATTTTTCCGCGAATTTCTCTTATCTCTGTTTGAAATTTCTGTTGCTGGTTTTTGATGGTAATCAGATTCTCTTCCCGATCCTTCGTGATTTTATCTATATTTAATTTCATATTGTCAATACTTGTTTCTATGTGTTCAATTAAAGAAGACTCTTTTGATGATCTAATTATATCATCGATTGCAAGAACTTCGCATTTTCTATGGACAGAAGATATACAAATAGGACAGCAAAGACTTTCATGCTGAGGGCATTAGTTTTGGAATTTCTTATCATGGTCAGGACAGTGTTGTTTAATACTGGCTATGGATGGTGGTAATTTGGAATAGTTATCGACAGAAATGACGTCATGGTTTCTTGAGGACTTGGATGCAGTGTGGTACTTCAGACAGGAGGAACATAATCTTTCGTCACATTCAGGGCACCAGTGCTCAGCAACTGTTGTGACGTCCCGAACCTCACAAACGCCACATAAAATATGTCCTTGTGTGGCCATTGTTCCTTAAATAATCAAAATACATGTTTTATTTGCTGTATCAAGGTAAAATTCAATATTGACATGTTCGGTGTGAGCCAAGGCTCCGTGTTGAAGGCCGTACTTTGACCTATAATGGTTTACTTTTACAAATTGTGACTTGGATGGAGAGTTGTCTCATTGGCACTCATACCACATCTTCTTATATCTATATAATATCTGCTAGGTATTTAAGTTTCGTTACTTCGAACATTTCAACAAATATGAAACAATCAATATTATCAATTTAGCTCATCAACGTCAAATATGCTTTAGCGAACTACACATGTAACTGTTTTTCCGGTCAGTAAAACAGCATCATCTTCTTGATACCTACTTTCCAGATTACGTGAAAGCTTTTTTTTTATCATAGTAATTAGTACTTTTTTGCAGTAGTTTTGTAAAGTTGAGAGATGTTTATCATCAAGTCAGTGCATTAAATCATAACAATTTAAGAAAATTAAAGGATTGTGGCCTTTTATAGCCGACTATACGGTATGGGTTTTTCTCATTGTTGAAGGTCGTACGGTTGCCTATAATTGCTTACATCCACTTCATTTGAACTTTGGTGGATAGTTGTCTCATTGGCAATAATACCACATCTCCTTATTTTAATATTCGAACGTTAGAATTTCCGATTATTTCCGGAAGTAATTTGCATTTTACCGACAATGTTTTTGATTGTTCATAAAAATACTGACTTCATGAAACCTTATTGAATGCCTTCAGATAAAACACGAAGCGACAAACAAATCTGACGTAACAGAGTGAAGATAAGATTTAAATCAGTTTGGCGATATGTGTAGAATACAAGGAGTTCGAAAATGTTGTTGAATTTATTCATATATCATTTCTTTCTCGAGACAGATTTGGGTCTGCTGAACATAGATATAAATAAAATTCTCTTTGGGGTTGTAAAACATCTAAAAAGTATGAAATGAAACAAATCATACAGTTTTAAAACTTAAAGGAAGCAATGTTCAAACATCTATCGTCTATCTGCTAATCCACATTTTTCTAATAACATTTATATGGAATGGGGACTTAATGATTGATTGAAAGATTTACTAATGGTGTCAGTATTTTGATATAGATATTTTAATTTGAAAATAGACCTTAGATCTTTCATCAATGTATAAGAAACGGAAAGTATTCTTCATCTTAAGTCATTTAAGCTACAGATTTGACATATTTGGTCTTTCTTTACTTCTGTATGTATTCCCCTTGTGAATGGGTTAAATATTAAAGAACTTTCAAATAGGAGTGACATTTAACTTTTATGATCGTAGCATGTTAGAAAAAGATGTTTCTGAAAAATTAAGACGTTTTATCCTCTTATTTCAAAGTTCTGAACGTTCGTTTTTTTAACGTATGCGCCTACTTTCAACTTTTTGAGACTCCCATTTTAAAGTGGTGTTTGATTTTAAAACACTGTTATACAGTGCAGTAAAACGGTATTGACATAATATATTACATGTGGTTTTATTTTATGAATTTATAATTATTCTTAGTTTATTAGTTTAGGTCCACATATTAGCTTTTTGCTATTAATGTGATCATGGTACTTTATTTTATCCTTAATTAGACTATTTTCATATTACCGACTTTTGACTCCGGATTATATAATTTGTCGACTGGTTACCTTGGACATCATGGTACTCGGTCAAGTAAGAGCAACCAAAATAAGTAAAATCAAACATATAATCGGTGTAATTTGAGGGGAAAGTTTACTGTTTTCCGATGATTTTGTAGCGAAAAAAAAATGTTAAGCAGGTAATTTTCCCACAAAATTGTACCGATCGAAAGCTTGGTTTTACTTTTTTAGCTTGCTCTTACCTGGCTTGGTACCATGATGTCCAAGGTAACCAGTCGACAAATTATATAATCCGGAGTCAAAAGTCGGTAATATGAAAATAATCTAATAAGTAAGAATCTTCATTTACATATTACTGTTCATGTGTTATGGATGCACACATTTATAACACAAGATAATATACAACTGCATGTACCAGTTGTCCATACACTAATGTAAAAGTCTACAGTGAATCGTCTTGTAATATAATAAATAGTGAGATAAAAAAAAAACAAGCCAAAAATTGTGGGGAATCTATAAAGTCCTTTCAGACACTTCGCGAAATGTCAATCGAGAACTTTTTAAAAGTTCTCTGTCTAGACGTCACGAATAGAATAATTAATATGCCTAAATATTAGAAGTAAAGAGGTTTTTCTCTGATCATTGCCCGTTATTAGAATTGTTTTCCACTATACTGTTGCCGGAGGCAAAGACGAAACTGGTCCTTTTAAAAGATCAATCATTTATCTTTCTATGTTTTTTTTTTCATTAGAATTTATGCTTCTGTATCTCTAAGATCCAGAAGTGTTTGCACCTAACGACATTGTCTTTAACCTAAAAGTTTACAAATATCTCTGCTATAATTTGAGTATAGATGCAAAACATCCTAAATAATGCACCAACATTTAACTTTAGAGGTCATAGTAACAGATGTGTTTTTTGGTTTAATTTCAACTGGATACCAGCATGGACAGGACACAAAACGGCGGGCCTTTTAAATTAGATTATCGTATTTCCAAGTGACTGACCGAACTGTTAATGGTCATTATTTTTGCATAGCATGTTGTTATTAAAGGGAAAAAACTTACAGATATGATGTTCAAATAGTCCTGCTGACAACATCCGGATGTATAAATGTGATCATGTGACTGTGTTGTAATAGATAATTTGTTCAGGATATAAATAGATATTGATTGACGATATTATAAATATAAACGTTGAATTACTTTTAAATGTTATTTTGTTTGAGCACCATGTTATGTTTTCTTTCAATTTCAGTTTTACTGCATATTAAATGCGCTGTATATATACAGTGTACATTTATTGGCGTAAAAGCTTAAATTCAGAAGTGTTTTGTTCATGTTGTTATTTGTTATTGGCAAATATTTTTATCATCATTTGCGTCTCCTTTAATTTCCGTTTTCCAGTCTTATGAACTCCACACTATTTGTCTCTTCTTAATCGATTTACAAGACTTTAACATCTGTAAAATAATATCGCCTTTATTAATCGCAATACAAGCTATAGAAAATACCAACATCATCGGAAAATATAAAATGAATATAGTAGTATAGAAGATAAATTGTATTTAGTTTAATTTGTTCAATTGTTCCTAACTAAACATACTAAACGGGATGCATCTTTTCATCTGAATAAGACCAACTCCCCAACCATATCAATGTAATGTCTTTTAACGCTCATGTATTACACTTTTTATCGTATAAATACATAATAATGATGTATTAAAATAAATTGAAGTCGCAACAATTACTTGAAACATTGACATAAGACGACATTGGTTGTTCTGTTGGACTTTTTTTTTGCTTTTAAATGTTTTTTATTTGCCTTCCGCACTTTTGGTCTCAAGCGCATTTAATTAATTGTAATCCAGAAACATGTGTTGAACTATTTGGTTGTTTTATGCGTGAAACTCTATACTTAGGGTTGCTTAAAGTTGTTAAGGATATTGAAATAAGAGAGAGGCGAAATATACCAAAGGGATATTCAAACTCATATTTCTTATTTTTATATCATAAGTCGACAAGAAACACTGACAACGCCATGGCAAAAAACGAAAAACGACAAACAACAGTACACAGAACACAAAACAGACAGAGCAAAACAAACCCTGCAAAAAACCGGGGGTATTATCAAGTGCGTCGGAAAGGTAAGCATATCCTGCTCCACATGTGACACCCGTCCGGGTCCCATATTATGGTTACAGTACAATGTGCGTAAATAGTTATTCTATGAACTTTAAGAAATTTTGTATTCAACAAGCTTGTAAGAAAGTTTCATTGCTTACTGGAAAAATTGTCATACCGTTTTATACTTTTAGAGTCGTTGTTCGCAGAAGATTGACAATTCTACCAAAATATATATGAATATAAGATATACATGGTATATCAAATGTCAATAATGTCGTGCAAGTTTTGAAAATATACAATCATTTAAACAGAAATTTCCATTTCATTAATATAAAAAGCATAGAGCATAGAGGTCACAGAGTTAAGTTTAAATTCCAATAAAAAGCAGTGTAAAAAAGGCGTCATACTGGCATAGATATATAAGCATGCAAATCTTGTTTTGTGGGGTTATGGTGTTACGGCACTTACGCTTTTTTGATTTACACCTCAATGCCAATTCGGTAACAACCTTTAAATTGCTTATTAATACGTGCCACTTTCGACAAATATAGCAGTTTATTTTTACAACAAGTTATTTTATAACAATATTTATAGAATGAAAATTCGAAATTACGCATCGGTAAAGGCATGATATATATATATATATGAAATAATTTTACTTTATATTTTCAATGAAGTTGTGTATGGAATTGCTCCTTTTTGTTTTGAAGGTTCACGTAAATTTTATATGTTTGACTTCCCAAACTTTTAATTTCGAACGTACCTGATGAAGGTTGATCGTCAAACGTGTTGTGTGCTGTATCATACGTTTGACGTTTAGATATACTATGTTTTGCGTCACATTGACATATGCAAGAAAGTATTGTTTTGCGCAAATCTACATATCATATGAAAACCTACTACCATTCTGGTAATTTATCATAATTATTTTCTTCTATATTTCAGTTAAAATAAACAGACAGCTTAAGTATTTCTAGAAATTAATAAAAAAAAATTTAAAAAACACTGTATCATCGGGAACGCTGAAAGCCGAATATTTGAAAATTTGGTAATGCATAACAGATAACTAAGCAAGGGAAATGACATGCTTTTGATAACACAAAAAGCTTTTTATGCATAATTTACTACGTTAGTTGCTTTCATATTACTAAAGACTCGCAAATTTTACTTTGTATTATTCGCGATTCTCAATCACAAGCGAAATTAAGTCATCATAATTGATGTGCTCTTTAATCTTCTTGTCAGCACAACACAAATCAAATGATTTGCAATATATAAATTATTATCTCTGTTCACATGGAAACAAAAAAGTTATATGTAATGTAAAATATTCATAAATATGACAACTGGGTTACAACTTCAAGCCTATCAATAGGTATTTGTTTGATTTTACATCCATCATGATTAACCTTAATAACGCATCAACCCTAAAATTACTGTACTTAATCTTATTGTAGTTTTATACTGCACACAGATAGTGTCTAAATCCATCTTCTTATTCTTATATGAAGAAAAAATGTGTACAAAGAAAAATGTTATTTTTTTAAGGTATATAAAAAAAGTTATTTCATAAGTATTAGCTAATATCAATAAAAATGACTTAAAAGGATTATCATTTCAAAACATTACCATTCCCCGTCATATTCCTTCTTTGGTACAGACATTTTGCAAAAGAAAAAATATTTTTTAATAAAATTTTAATGAGATTCATGCTATATCAAATCCAATGTAAGGTAACTATATGAATAATATTTACTAGTTTCCAACTATAAATGTTTTGTTATGATTCACGAAATAAATCTTCTAAAAGTAAATCTCAATGTTATATTAATTCTGAAAATATTATTTACTGAGATTCAGATTCTACATTTATGTAGATACAAAACTGTTTGTCTTATCAATTTTTAATTGCTTGGAAATGATTAACTCAATTACACAAAAACAGCAGCTGATTTAACCACGAGATTCCGATCAAAATTAAGGATATGTTACAATATTTAACTGTTAACTCGTTATACAAATTTGTTGTTTTCTCCTATTTCCTCTGAATGATTCTCTAGTTCGTTTATCCAATCATCTATATCTTCGTTTTCCTTTTTTGTAATTGGTTCGATATGATTTTCCAGTTCGTTTATGAGTTTCTTTATGTTAGGTAATTCGGCATTCCACTTATTTTCTTCGGCAATTCCAGCTGCTTCTCTCGCATGCATGCGAGCGAGATCAATCTGATTATGTTGTCTATAGAACTCAGATTTGGCAATCTGAAACAACATCTTTCGTCTTTTCTCCATACCTTCCCAGATATCGGGTTTTTCAATAAAGTCCATATAGTTTTTTGCTGCTTCTCTATCACTATCGTCTACTTTAACACTGTCTATTCGTTTGCCAAAAAGTCCTATTCCTAATCTGCAAAACACCATTTTTAGCATAAGCATTCTTTGGTAATCTTTTTGAACATTTTCATCTTCTCCAGAAAACTGAGAAATGGCAAGTTCGGCAGTTTTAAGTATTGATTTTTTAATTTCATCAGAGGGATTTTGCTCGTATTTCTGGGAAAGTAGGTTTACCTCAATATAAAAGACCATGCCTGTTTCTTTGCACGGTACCACATGTTCAGCGTGATGTTTTGAATACTGCAAGAAACCTAGTCCGACATCGAGAGATTCTAACATGGATATAGCCGATCCATATCTACAAAATACGAGTACATCTATCGAGTTAAAAAAAACCGCTTTTAATCAGAATAGTTAAGAAGTCATAAAAAATTTGCAGGATGAAAGACAAGAAGACGAGTTTTATATTCAATATAAACGTATGGTAATGATTAAAGTGAGCATGCCGAGGGCTACGATATCCATAAATTATCAGCCACTGGTCTAGTACCAGTTACTGTCAGAAATTCAAAAAAAAAATTACTGGATAAGAACTCCATTTGGAAATATTCCTGTAAGATATGAACGGTTACTAAAAGTTAGGTTTAGCACCATAAACTCGGACTTTTAATTCTCTTATGAATAACAAAATGTGTTATGAAGACCATGCATGCAGTTACTGTCCCTTATTAAAATAGACACTTAATAATAGAAATTTCATCTTAATCTGATTACTAATGTCGTATTTTGCTTTCTTGTAGGAAGATGAGAATGAGACTTGTCAAACGAACCAAACATATCGTAATTCCGTTGATTAATTCCAAGGTTCCTTTTCGGTTCACTAAATCTGAACTGATCATAAATTCATGCCACTGGAAATCAACTACATAGTTACATCGTATCGTTATCAAAATTTGATTTTACAACTTATAAACCGTTTTTTATTCTTTTAACTCTTTGAAACAAGGATTGACATTTTCAATTCAGTGACAAATTCAGGCTCTATAGAAAAAAATTACAATGGAAGAAAAGTAATTTTAATCTTCTGTTACTCAATCGGTTTTGAATCGTTCAATCTCATGTATCCAGAAAAGTGCTTCGGACGCATGAAATTTATAACGTGTTGTGTTCATTTTTTGTTGCATACATACAAATAATTGCTGCACCGTTTCAGAATCTTATGCATTTGGAAATATTTTCAACAACGATTTTGTTTTTGACGTTTTTTAAACAGTGGATATCCACTCAACGGCGATGTTATTTTCATTTATGTGTACGAACAACGACATTACCCACAATTCTGTGAACAAAGAAAAAAAAGAATTTGAAAATTGTTTTAATCTAGCTGCATGAAAACGGCAATACGCCATAAAGGGGAAAATTGTCGATTTTCTTTGAAGAAGACATGATGGGTTTTAATTGATTATACCTGGCTAAATAAGTCATACTGCTCACTTGTGGGTTAGTTGTAAATGGAATCATTGACTTCATCTCTTCAAAGATGGGATTTTTAGACAAATTTACGTCATAGTTAACTCGTTTAAAACTAGCTTCAGCCTCGAGCGAGGTGAATTTCATGTCTGCAAGATTCATACGTGCTGTTATGTTCTTGAACCTGTCAAGTTTGTGCTTTGAAAACTTGTCGCTGATTTTCCCCATAAATTTTCTGAATTTATCAATGTCACCGTCATGGTTAAGACGTTTGAGTCTGTGTGACATCATTGAGATTCTACGCCTGTTTTCTGTAAAAACATTGATTTTCTTTACTGGCTGATAAATAATAGCATGCTCTGTAATTGTTTCTTGGTTTCTTGATGTTTGTGTTTTTACATGGTTGTCATTATTCGGTTCAGATACCTCTTTACGTCGATATATCAGTTGTTCTTCTGTTTGTAAGTTTTGATTTTCACCAATGTTTGCTAACGTTTCTTTTATCTTCTCAGAAAGAAAATGATATGTTTTACTGAGCGCCCGAAGGAAGCTTTCAAACTTGCATTTACTTCCGTTTGACGTAATACGTCGTATGAAGAGTTGACATAATTTTCTTCTCGATACATTGAGGTCTAAAAGTTCCTCGTACAGTGATCTGGAGATTTGATCATCTTGGAAGAGATATGGAGTTATATCATTAGGATTTACATTGTGTATCAGATCTATCAAGTTCTTTTGAATGGCTTTCTTTTCTCTTTCATTCATATTATTCAAGACATAGTCAATATTTTAATCTTGAACTATGTACGTTAGTTGTGATGATATTTGAACTCTTCTAAACCTGTCCATTGAAAACTTTACAGATCATCGCAGACAACAATCTACACCTAGAACTAATTTGCAAAAAAAAACATATGATTATTTTTTGGCAAATCTAAATTTACATTAAATCTTATTGAATCTTTATTTAAGAATGACAATGAACCCTTTGCGCTATGGAGTTCTAGGCAAGGGTCCTGAAATTCGAACTGATGTAGAATACGAAAAAACCCGTTGTCGTAGGCTAATTATAAGCAGTTACCTGAGGAATGGGAAAGAGGGGATTTAAAAATAGTTTCCTACGAAAAAAGTAAAATAACAAAAATACCGAACTGCAAGGGAAATTTAAAACGGAAAGTCCTTAATAAAATGGCAAAATCAAAAGCTCAAAAAAATCAAACAAATGGAAACAACTGTCATATTCCTGACTTGGTACAGACATTTCCTTATGTAGAAAATGGTGGATTAAATCTGGTTTTTTGGCTACCTTAACCTCTCACTTGTATTACAGTCGCATATAATTCCAATATATTGACAACAATGTGTGAGAAAAAACAAACAGACATAATAAGTAAAAACGTCAAAAACTGGGATACAGCAGTCAACATTGTAATATAATCTTAATCACTATAAAAACAATTCTAATATGACGTGCTTCTTTCGCTTTGTAAACAATACCGTGATAAAATTCTCGATATATCTATACTAAGCGCAGACTCAGAGATGTGCATATTGGTGGCTGTTACTATTTACCTCCCACGTAAATCTACATGTATCCTCACCTATGTGCAAACACTATGTCGATTTCGTTGTGTTCAAATTGAAATTGAAAAAGAATCTACAGAACCGTTATTCCTATTATAATGCATAACAAAAAGAATTAATTCACAAGAGCTTAAAAAATGTATAAAATCAAAATAAAATAAAATTCCGCGAAATTTCATGAATAATCTTCGCGCATTAACGTCATGTCATAACATGACGTCAAACGAATGAAAACTCTCAAGCTGATGGTTTTCCGTTACGTATACGCCCTAAATTCGGATAATATTGCATTAAAATGAAGTTTTGAGGTAGGTGTTGTTTCATTTTCTATTCCATTACATTATTTGCACATTTGTGGATTTTAGCAAGTCAACATGGCGGCTCACCCTCAACTCTGGATTTGACAGTAAATAGTAGCCAACGAAAAAAAAAATGTTCGGGTTAAGAATTATGAGAATTGAACACATTTATTCTAGTGCTTATTTAAGAAATAATTCATGTAAGACTTAGATTTATTTGAAATTTGTAGCTTTTATCTTACAGGGGGCAAAATAGAACAGCCATACACACGGCAATCTTACCTTCGCTTCAGTTTTTAAATAGCCGTATTTGTCCTATTAGAATCGAAATAATTCATGGAAGCCATAGATTTGTTGGACATTTACACATGGCTAACGCTCAGGATAAAATTCGAATATCACGGCCCAGGCCATGTGTAAATGTCCAACAAATCTATGGCTTCCATGAATTATTTCTTAAATAACTGTTTCAACAAAGAAACACAAAATAGCATATATACAAAGTACATAAGCAAAAATAAAAGACAAAACCTAATATTTGACCTTTGCACAACAAAACAATGATGGGATGTATAAGTACCGATCCACGTCATAAGAAGGAATTTGACAAATTCCAACAACAGTTATTCATTTAGGATACTTATAGGAGCATTACAATCAAACTTAGTTTTAAAAACCATGAAATTTTGAATTTCTAACATTTACTAATAATTTCATTTTGAATGTAACGCGTCTTCTGATTGGCTGACGTTGTTTTGTCTATCAGCTCATAGACATAATTTTGTCATGTGACCGTGACGTCATCAACGTTTTTTTCATGGTTTACTACGGTTTAAAATGGAATTTAGAATTAAATTATAAGAAATGACTGTAATATTTTTTCTGTCTATTCGAATTTACATAAAAAATGTGGTGCACACTTTAAAATAACCCGCTACGCGGGTTATTCACTGTGCACCACATTTTTGATGTTATTTCTTCATAGACAGAAAAAATATTACAGTCATTCCTTAAGTGGAGTTGATTTTTACTCGTACGACTGTTAATGTGCCGTTGCTTTGAAAAGTGTAAGGCTATCTAACCACAATATCTTGTTCAATAAAAAAAAATACTTATGGAGCGTTGAAATTAGATAAATTATATTTTAAAATTATGACATCTGAGGAGAAGTTTTCATGGAAGGGGATCCAAATCTTGGATGAAATAAACTGTTGTGTTATCTTAAAACTGACATCTACTTTTCAGTAAAAATATTTTAAACTTTTTATTTTTGATTAAAAATCATACAGTTCAACATTCATATATCCCATACATTCTATATCAATCCTTTCCCGCAATTTTGTTTGCATGGTTCACGCATATTAAATAATTAGAAATATAGTCTATGGAGGAATATTCGGAACCCTAATTATTGTTCATTCGGAACATTTATATTTCTTATCTGTATTAGCTTCCTGCAATTAAGAACACCTTCATACGGATCATTTAAGATATCTAAAACTTGGCAATAAAGAACTTTACACAGATCGCTTAACCCCACTTATATGCTATATGGTAATAAAAGATATAGTTGATAATCTATATAGAAAAAAATAGAAATAGATTCCCATACGTATAATTCTTAAAGAATAATAATGATTCAAAACATGGACACTCAGTCTTTCAAAAATTCATTAAATTAATCTAGAAATAATTAATGTGGCATTGAGTAATAGTCAACTAGTAGGAGACATTAATTAATGTTCCCTACAACTGATCATCAAGTGTAACTCTACCACGAGACGCATTGAGAGATTAAATGATGTAATATAAAACCATTTTTAAAGATTCTCAACAAAAAAGATTAAACTGCATTTGTTTAATTAATTCTAAGAAACAATGAATTTGAGTTTAATGGAAAGTTATACAAACAAGATATAGGAGCGCCCCCTCCATAGGTGGTATATTTTCACCATCATACACATATCTGCATCTGTCTGTCCTATTAATAAATATCTTAGATAAGTTCAAATAGAAAGAAAACATCAAATTACACTGTCAATATAGAGATGACGGTTTTATGGTCTTCACATGCAAAATAGAGCAAGTAGAAGATTTCTTTAACATAGCGAACAAAATTTCCCCTATACTTAAGTTCACATATGACGTAGTAGTTGGGAGACTTTTGAAAAGGGACCCATGCTTAAAAAGTTAACTTTAAGCAAAAAATTCCAAAACACTGTTAAATTTCTGAATCATAGGCAACAAACATAAGTTAGCAAAAAACAGTGTAAAGTTTTGAGATTTATCAAGTATGTTGATTTAAGGAACCGCATTTCATAATAATCGAATTATCCTGCGACTGATATGATAATATAATATTTGGTAAACTATGCTAACCAATGAGAGAACTTGTCAATAAACATGGCGTCGAATGTTGAGTCTTAGCAAAGCGAGCTAAATGACATCAAATTGACCAGTGTTTTACAAGATATAAATCAATGGCAATATTTTTATACAAAAAAAATAAACGAAAAACAGACACGATAATAAGCAAACAAAAAAACAGGCTCCGGATTTGGACAGGTATATTAAGTATACATGTATAAGCAGCAAATTGAATGTATTAGCTGGATCCAAACCCATTTCTAAGGTGGAACGGGATTTTACGGCACAAAATAAAATGGTAAGCAAGTAGATTTTGTCTTATTTGGAAGGAATAAAACTTTCACATTTTATGAAACAAAATATCGTACTTGCTCTGAAATATGTATTTTAAAAAGAAAAATATATAAAATTACTGAGGGATTCTAGTTGAAATATTACTTCTACCAATAAACACCCTAGAAGTGTCATCCATTGGTAGTAGTTTGACCTTTCACACTGGTAAAAATGAAAGCTAACACCATCCAGAAATGAACTATTAAAACATTCCTTATCTCCCTACTTTATATTTAACACCACTCTCAACATGCCATAATTGTCCTGATTTACAATAAAAAGAAAATATTATCCTCCACACACATGGTTATGAAAATACTGAGATATAATTTACAGTTCAGTTGAAATAATAATTAGCATAAAAAAAGTTCTAAGGTTCACGTATTGACTTTTGTTTAAAAAAAAAGCAACTTGTTTAATGCTTAAAAAGAGAACATAGTCATTTCGTTACTTCGTCAATAATTTGATGTTTTATACATTATCTATTGACAAAGATATCATTTATTAAAACAGTTCTTGTTTTGAACACCATCGCATTTCTACGGTAGGAGTGAACATTTCTTTTAGGTACCGGGTCGAAATGTCATGGCAAAAGGTTGTTGCCGTTATATTTTTAACAACAAATGCTATTCAGTTACATAACCTAAATTTTGAAATTCACCGACGGGTCTTATCAAGGGAAAGTGTTGATATCGTTTTTTTTCCATGGCAGGGAGGACAAAATACCATGGTCGTGAAAAATAAATCTTACTGAACATATGTTATACAATTAAGTTGTTATGTAGAACATTATCCCTAAATTAATATTTCAAATAATATGAATATTTCATATTCTTAAACCTATGTACTAGGTTAACGGATGACATTCCATAGGTAATAGGGGCCTAACAATTGAGTGGTACCTAGCTGTAGCAGCAAACATGATTACTTTAGTAACAAAGTATATTAAAACCCTTTGAGAATAGTTTTTTTTTGGAAAATTTCCCAATCTTTGCAGCTTCGGTATTTTGATCTACGAACCATTAACAAATTATCCATCTGTTGTATTCTCTCAGAATTGCATATATATTATGATAAAGTATTCCAAATGTATTGTATAGTAGTACATGATGTATAATTTTGTATTGTATTGAGTTGTATTATTGGGAAAGCTTTCGCAATATTTTGCTTTATCATAGTATTCCTCCTGTAATAAGGACAGTCCTCTGTATATGTCAGAATTTGAATATAACGATTTGGATCAAAACGATTTATGTTATGGTTCTATTTAGTCAGAAGCTAATATGAGAAAAAAAACAACACTTGTTCTATGGTAAGGTATCCGATCCCCTACAATGGAAAACTCCATCTCAGATGCCAGAATTTCATAACGGTATCATAATAAAAGTATACATGTTCGATATGTGTTCGATTTTCATAGAGGGGAGAGTTGTTCAATGCGCCAAAACATACCAGATCACTTGTGATCCCCCAACCGCCTGGTAACTAAGTCGAAATGGAGCAGGGATATACTGCTAGACGTTATATCAGCATAACTATTAATTTACTAGGAATTTCAAATAATCATACCATACAATATCTGATTGCTTTGAAGGCAACACAATTTGTCTAACAGGATTAACATCATATTTTTAATTGATTAATACAAAGATAAAATAAAAAGTATTAATTCTTACCGTTCTATGTATGCCTACCTCAGATTTGATAGGATTTTGGTGTGCATACGTCCTTTCATCAACTTCATAGACCCTATAACTAAAGATTCAGTTTCAGATACGAAAATGAAAGTTAGGGAGAAAATGACAGGGGCGTAGGAGTGGACTGAAAAGTGGGGGACTCGCATATGGAAGTGAAAAGCAAAAAAGGAGCTTTATGTGTAGGAGTAAGTCAGTGTCCCCTTTCATTTACAACATTCCATTAGCATAAGTTTAATTGACAATACCGGGTCTTAGTCTACAAATCAAACTGAGCATGACTTATAATGTTGAGTTCGTTATCAAGTATTTTCCGTCGAGTTTTGATTAAAATATTTGGCAATTGCCTTCCTCCATGACCCAATGAAAACGCATGTTGTAACGGTTTAAAAGGGAAAGTAAGAACTATCTAAATGTACGAGATATGTAATAGAACCAGCTACAGTTTGTTATCAGAGCTAAAATTGTTTATTTAAACAATACCTACATAGCTTTGGTTGGTGCAGCATACTATTTTCTTGATTATGGTAAATGAAACCCTCGATGATAAAAATATGGCTGAATATCAGTTATTAATAGACATTTACACAATAAGCGTTTGCACATTATTATTTACATGACGTAGTAATTGTATAAAAAAAATCAATGGTGTTGGATGGATAAAAATAGCAAAAAGGCCACGAATATTTATAACATTATAGTGTGTAATAAGGTTTCGTGAGGGAATTCGATGTTTGCTATACCACGGTGCATGTAAAAGCTCTTTATTTCAATATCACTAAACTAATCAGAATAAGAATTTTTACAGTATTTTCAAAATGATGTCGCTATGTATTTGTGTATTCATTGTTCAAAACAATATAACGGTCATTAAGGAGAATTATTTGTATAAAGTCAATAATTTTTGTTGTTTTTTGCACCCCAACTTTCTATTGCCGTGAACATGTTAAATGTGAAATTAGAAAATCATATGAATACAGACAGATCGGTTTTTGTGATTCTTGCAAACAGTTTGGATTATTATTTTTTGGTTTTTATTGCAGTAAATTATTTTTTTTAAATCTGTCATTTTCTCCCTGTCAAAAGAAAAGTCATTACAGATAACAGGTTTTTGTACGCAAGTCGCGCCTTTCGTTTACAAAAACCTCTTTAGCGAAACTCGAATCAAAAAAGATAAAAAGCCAAAATAAAGTATGAATTTGAAGAGCATTGAGGGCAAAAGCTTCCAAAAGGGTTTGCCAAACACAGGTACAGATCTATTTCCTTAATAGACGAGTGACATTAACCATAAAATTCTATTTTTAATGCACCCACCTAACATACGGCTCACTCATATATTATTCGAAAGCACAACATCTGTACTTTCTTTTTTGCCCGGTCGTCAAAAATTCGTATGGTGCCGTTTCCGTTAAATCACAATGAAAGGTCAAGGACAGACAACTTCTAATTTAACAAGATGTCAGCATTTTTGCATATTCTGTCTTCTGAATGATAATATTTTTTATGGACATATGGAAATCTGTTAGAACAGATGTTAATAGTAACTTATCAAAAGCACTTTGAAATATTAATGTCGGATTTTTAATAAATTGCGCCGTTTTCCAGAAATTTCATTGAAAATGACAAAACTGCATGAAAACCAAAACTTGTGTATGTGATTCAACTGTAATTCACCATAAAACCATATAACATACTTTATTTAGTGCTAAGGATGTTTTTGACATAATTAGATTACTGCAATTACGCCTCTTGTTAATTATACAGCCACTTATAACAACCATGTAGTTGCCCAAAATACCGCCATCTACAAAAAGATGTTCTTTGTTAAATCAATTTGTATGTAGTCAATATTAGGTTGAAAAACACAAATCTTAAAAGTGCAAAATTGTTACAGGCAGAATACACAGGTCATTCATGCTTTTAGGGGAAAGTTTTGGAGCGAAACTTTGATATTTCAATATTTTAATATTTATATGTTTTCTTGGTTGCTTATACTGCATCTTGCATTGACTGAGGATCTTAGTGAAAATTATTATAAGCTAGCGACTGAAATGTTCTTTATGCCTGGTCAAGGTATTTAATCCTATCAAACTACGTAATTCTTGTAAATAAATTGAGACCTTCGCAATTATATTTACTTACATTAATTTTTTAGATGGAAATTCTAGCAATTCGCAATAACAATACATACACTTCCTGAATAGTTTACATATACATACGTTGTAATATAAAGATGATTGATGAATTGTTGCTGTTTGACGCAATAATCGGTTCAGCACTATTGGCTACTAAAGTATTTAGCGGCGATCAGTTTTTATTGGTTTAGGCCTACGGAGTGCCCAAGGAACCACCGACCTTCGACAGGAAACTGGCAATCCCCATCAACAGTACATAAGTTATAGCTATTAGTATCAAGGACGAAATTACTGTCAGTGTAGGTGTCACAACAAAAATCTACCAATCAGCATTAATTACCTTTTGTAAAAGTAGGCAACCTCTTACAAAACAAAGCAGTTTTGATATTGATGTTTACTTCAGCTAAATGTTACAAGTAAAGTTGCTTAATAGAAACAGCTGAAAATGTAAATGCATTTGAACCACTTTTATTTCAAATTTAATTGGCCATGATTTGCATTAAAATTTCAATATAATGCAAATTCACATAATATTATAAGACATTTAGAAAAAAGAGAAAAAAATAGTAGATCATCTGTTAAGCATTGGTTGGACATTGGCATATTAACCTAAAGATAGTACATGTGCATTAAGAATAAATAAAATACCTATACAATTGTGAGAAATGAAAATTGTGGTTGAATTTATCCAGTGGCAGTTGTTATCTAATAGTTAGTTTCTATGTATGTTGCATTGTCGTTTGGATTTTTTTGTTGCACTTCAGTGTTTCTGTTGTTTCGTTGTTTTCCTCTTTAAGTTGATGTGTTTCCCTCAGTTTTAGTTTGTAACCCGGATTTGTTTTCTCTCAATCGATTTATGACTATTGAACAGCGGTATACTACTGTTGCCTTACTTTATCATGTTTTAATTGGTTTTATGTCATCTAATCTTAAATTATGTTTATGGATATTTATTGTCCACTGAACCCTCTGTTGTTGATCTGACAGCGACTTTGGTGATTTTCTCACTTTATTTTCATATTTTTTCCGTTCGGGTTTTTAATGATGCGAAGATCTCACAACAATGATAAATGATATATAAGTTCATGAAATAAAAAACGTACAAAATGGTATGTATAAATGTAAAAACATGGGTTTAAACAATCTGACTAAAATTCATATCTATCATGACTCGCCTGCTCATTCATCGTATGAGAATAACGAAATCAGAGATCTACATTTTAATTAGATTGGGGTTAACTTTATGAGATAGCTTGAAAGCAGGTATGTTCTGGTCAATTTTAAGAGATTACTATTTTTAACTCTATTTGAATATGTCTATTATGAAACAAATCCCTTCACGTATAACCTCCATATGTGCACTTTGAACTTCCTTAATTCTACCAAGTAATGTCGGAAAACAGATGACAGCATGACCAAGGCGAAAAAGTAGGACAGACAAACAAAACTTCTTAAAACACTATACCGAAATGTGCGAACACTACGTTAACCAGTATGCTCAGGAAAGGTATTCAATCTTAATTAATCTGAATTATTAATTTTCAGTCATATTTAATAAAACAACTAATAAAGTATATAATGACGGTCTAACATCAAAATGAATTCGCCGGATTTGATATTGAAAAGCGCATGGTACAAACAGTTTTCATTCAAACATTGAACGAGAATAAACTTCGTAACATGTCTTTCCACATCGGAAAACTAATTTTTGCCAAGTATACCTTTTTTGTTCCTTAAAGTTCTTCCACAACCCTTTTTTTTAGATATGGTTGATCATTATCTGCCGATATTGGCAATATTATCTAGCCACTAAAGCAAAATGATCCCCATTTGCAGATGGTGTTTTTTTAGGGCAACTGCAATAGCTTCATTAGAAGGTTGCATCTTGTCCTATATCATATTAGTTGCAGTTGGTGGGGTTCGTGTTGCTTAGTCTTTAGTTTTCTATGTTGTGTCATCTGTACTATTATTTGTCTGTTTGTCTTTTTATTTTTGTCCATGGCATTGTCAGTTTGTTTTCGATCTATGAGTTTGACTGTCCCTCTGGTATCTTTCGTCCCTCTTTTAAAATGATGAAAAAATTCCCTCGGCTTATAAACGATAAATCTATTCTATTTTTGACATACAAATATTCAAACTTAAGAAAATATTTAGATTTTATTGCAATTTTATCATTTTTGAAAGTTTTTTTTAAGAAATGCAATTTTCTGTAAATATAGAGCAATCAACAATTAAGTTTGCATTTGATTTTGGACCGATGGTAATTTGTTATATAAGGTTTAGATCATTTTTAGAAAAAACATTCCATACAAGTACCAGAAAATGGCATTTTGTTTAATTCTGGCAAAATTTAGGAATGTTCAATTTTAACCTTTTCCCTTGATTTAACGCAAATTGCACCGTACGAATTATTGACGACCGGGCAAAACAGAAAGTACAGGTAATAAGCTTTCGAATGATATATAATATAGCCGTATGTTAGGTGGGTGCATTAAAGTCGTTAACTAGGCGTCTTTTTGAAAAATGTCACTCGCCTATAAGTAGAAAATCCTTAGTATTTCGAACAATTCAAAGTTATGATTTTCCAGCTAACACTTATTATTTTTTTGATAGACTGTTCATTGTTATTGGATTCTACGTTTATCGATTAGTAATTATTATTGTTCACCCTCACCTGTTAACCCGTTAAAACTTTTTTCTCTCCGTATTAAGTCAGAACATCAAATGTTATTATGAAACAATACTTATTTATAGAGGCAGGTATTGCAACTGTCAAGTATTATTTAAGAAATATTAAAATTACTTGTTTTTGCCGATTAACAATTGAAACTATGATTTGCTTTTTTTCCCTGGACTTAATGTACAAGTCAAGATAAAGTAATGCATATTGATTTACTCTATAACTATATGATAAAACAACGTTCTTATATCAAATATGTCATGAATTAAATTTGTTGATAGTTTTGCCTTTAAAATATAATTATATCCTGTACATCATAAACTTCATCGGTCATCACACGGGACACTGGACGTGTTGATGTTATCTATTTAATCAATGAAACAAAAGGATATGACTGGTACAATTTGCCAGTTCTTAATATTTTACAAAATTTTCGTAAGACAGGAATTTTTCAATGTTAACATAGCGCATTAATCAGAAATTTGAGAAACTTAACATGCATTTCCATCCTTTCAAAAAAAAAATTTTTTTTAGTTGAACATTGAGGTATGTTTTATGCACGTCTACGCTTTTGTGTCTTAACAGAAAACAGCATTTTTCAGTGTTACTACCAGTATGCTGCTAGAATTCCAATTTAACGAACACAAAAGCAGTGGGTAAATATTAAATATAAAACTTTGCAACAGCTTTTATCCTGAGGGAACGACAAAAACGAAGAATGGCATCTAGCCCATACCTTCGAGAAGTTAAGATTTACCCATGTTTCTCTGCCTACACTTAGTATGTATAGCATTACACT